ATATATATATATACATACATATATATTTTAGGCAAGGTTTTGCAATGCACCACCATGCCTGATGCTCAAAATCCTGTTTTATCAAACATATCTATGCTTGAACCAAAAAGGGGCTTCCCTGTAAACTCAATCAACCTAATCACCTTTCCTTGGATTTTAAATATATTTTGAGCCAAGCATGGTGGCATACACTTAAACCCCAGCACTTGGGAGGCAGAGGCAGGCAGATCTTTCTGAGTTCGAGGCCAGCTTGGTCTACATAGGGAGTTCCAGGCCAGCTAGGGCTACGGGGAGACGCTGTCTCAAAAAGATAAAAATAAAAAAACAAAATATATTTTGGTAACAGTGAATTATATTTTGGAGGTTATTTGGTCAGTTTCAATGATCATGGTGTCAGTACATGAAAAAGGGGTAGGTGGCCCTGGGCTGAGGGTGACTAAAGGGGACATAGAGTCATAGGAGTCAGCAAATAGAGGAAAGTGAGTCTGAAGGAGAAATCCTAAAAATGGAAAAATGGGTTGGTCTCCTAGACTGTATGTGTCAGAGTCCTTGGGAGTTACCAAGAGCTAGCAAGGAGCAGAGTCCCATGGTTGGTATGGAAACCAGTCTTGGGTACTCATAGAAATGCACACCGAATAGAAGGTGCCAGCCATACCTCTCCACACCCTAAAGAGCCCTCACCGCATGTGTGTCCCTGATGGCACACTCCTGAAGAAGCAAATATGAGAGGGAGAGAAAGGGAGACCTGGGAATGATCTCACGTCCCCTGAGAGAAAAAGGCACCAAATGTGAGCCTATGGAGACAACTAGGCTTCCAGAGTTGGAAAACCAAAAACTGTAATTTCCATCCACTCATCTACCCATGAATCCATGTCTCCATCTGTTCCTCATCCTACCCACTTGGGTGATCCCAGCCCGTAAAGGAAGAGATCTCACCAGTTCCTGGCCAAAGGTCAAAGGTTGCCCCAACCCAGGGAAAAGTGACCAAATGGAATAGAGTAAGTTCCTCCCTGAAAGTCCAGTTTTCCTCTTAGCTCTACCATTAGCTACTACTCATGTGCATCAGGTCATATGGTTGGATTCTTCTGGATCTAAGAGGTTTCCTCACCTGCAAAATGGAGACAGTAGTACAAGAGGTGGATGGGCAGGCTTTCCAGGTCTAACATTCCATGGTAGACCCTTTGGCTCCTGATGTCACAAATATGGAGCTGGCTCATGATTGACCCATAGCCTCTCTCGACTCTGCTGTTCTCTTGGTCATGTGAACAAGACAGACTTTCCCTGGACCTTCCCTACTTGTCCTCCTCTATTATGCACAGCTCTTGTCATGGCTCAGGACTGTGGGAGAGCCAAGCTTAGGTACGGCTGGGATCTGAAGGCGCACAGGACCAGATAAGGAAACTGGGAAGGGGCAGCCCCTCTCCCAAGCCCACATGATCTGCTTCCCTTCAGATGAATTCTACAATGAAACTCAGGCAAAGATATTCCTGCAGTTTTATGAGCAAACAACCTAGGTTGTGCTGAACCAGTTCATGGAAGCCACTTGGAACTATGTCACTAACACCACCAAGCTAAATTGAGAGGGGATGGTGTGGTACCACTTCCCCCCTTGGTCCCTCCTCCCCTTGCTCTTTTAAGGGGTCATGGGGATTGGGGACCACACTTACTGCCCTGTGTCCAAAGATTGTGGAAAGACAGATGCTCCAAAACACATGTCAAAGTGAACTGCATGCTCCAGACTTCTCAGTGGCCTCAAACATTCTCTACATAAGAATCTCTTGCTTTTTCTCCTTGCAAATCTGACCTTGATTTGAGGGACTTGGGCTTCCTCTCCTTGCAAATCTTCAATTATTCTGGACTCTTAAAGTAGTCTTTTGGAGTCGGTGGGGGGATGGCTGTTGCCTTGGAGTTCAACATGGGACCCTTACATCATCCCTCAACCTGCCATAACCAATATAGTGACCTTCTTTCCAGCTACAGAAAGAGGTGGCGTGGTCCCAGTTCATGGTGTACTTCGGCACCTGGGCCTGCCTGTTTAAGATAGACCAATTCCAGGACCCGGAAGTGAAGCGCATGCTGAGTAAGCAGCAGAGCATAGACAAGTCAGCCTTGCCCACCAAGGAGCTCCGGAAGGTGATAGACAGAGCCCCAGGCACACACTCCCCCACCCCAGGGGAGGGTGGGTTAGGTCAGATGGGGAAAACCAGAGTGTCAAGCAGGAGAGGGGTTGGTGGGGTAGAACTTTCTTTAGAGGAGGAGGGGGTGTGCTTCAGCCAGGCCCACCCCTCCTGGCTAGTGGGGTTAGCACTGGGAGTAGGCCTGAGGGCTCGGACCTGCCCTGGGTGACACCTGCCCCCCAGTACAACAAGCTTCTGACCTACATGGAGACAACATACAGTACGTCTGAGATGTGCCTGGATGAGGGCCCCTGCTTGCCCTTGGAGCCTGGTGGGCACCCAAACTCTGCCCCTGACCTCAGTTGTGTTCCTTATTGGAGGAAGGGGACCTAGGATGGATGAGGGCAGAGGTAGGTGGGCATGGGATCCCATGTGGCTCCTATTCCAGGCACAGACCTCGAAGAAATCATGGCCACCTCCAGGGACCAGAAGGAGTGCTGTGGGCCTGGCAGGGCTGGAGGGATGCCGTGGGTCGCCAGATCCACCCTGTCTTTGAGTACTATGTGCAGCTAAGCAACAAAGCTGCACAATATAATGGTGAGCAGGCTGGACACGACATGTCTTGGTGCAATGCCAAGGAAAGGATGAAAGCTGAATCTACAGAGGGCCTAAGCAATAACAGAACAAAGGGGTGAGGCGGGGGTATGAGCCTTTCAGCTGGGCCCTGCAAATATAGACAGAGCCTCCACTGGGTGCTGGGTGCTGGGAAGGTTCTGAGGCTCTATAGGTAAAAAGACAGAGGCCTGCCCATGGGCTTGCAGTCCTATTGGGAGATGACCATAGATAAGTGCACATGCACTTCTAATAGCACTTGGTATGATGCGTGGAGGAAGGGGCTGCTGGAGTTGGCAGAGAAGTGAAGGGCTTCAGATAAATGGTGAAGGCAGACCTCTCTGATATTTAACCATGTCTGAAAGTCAAGCAAGAGACAGGTGAGCAGGAAGTAAGAGAGCAACCTGTATAGAGGCTTTGTACCACAGAGGGAGGGAATCAGTGGTTTTACAAGATGAGAAAGAAGTCCATAATGACCACAGGCCTATAGGAAACTTGGGGTTCAGGATTTGGCAAGGGAAGAGGACAGGGCTGCAAGGGCTGGCCAGGAGTTCATGCTGTAGGCTTCACTCAGTGCGTTCCACCTCTGATGTGATCCAACATGGCCAATGCCCTGGGAGTTAGGATTCACATTTTACAGGTGGAAACCCTTCAGGATCAGGGTGGTGGAACTTTGCTTAGAAAGTATCTTGGTCTCCTCCCTGCCAGGCCAAGGCTGCAGGGTGACATGGTGAGCACCTGATAAATCCCCTCTCTTGTTTTAGGGTATGACAACCTGGGGGCTTTGTGGCATTCCAAGTATGAATCTGACACCCTGGAGCAAGACCTGGAACAGCTCTATGAGGAGTTACAGCCATTGTACTTGAACCTGCATGCCTACGTGCGCCGCTCACTGCACCAATACTATGGACCTGAAGTCATTGACCTGCGAGGGCCCATCCCTGCCCACCTCCTGGGTAAGGGCCAAACTAGTGGTAGAGGTAGGCACTCAGTCAGGGAAGAGGTTGCTCTTGCCTTCTCTTAGGCCCTGCATTGCCTTTCTAGGGAATATGTGGGCTCAGTCCTTGGATAACATCCTAGATCTGGTTCTGCCCTACCCTGAAAAGCCCCCTGAGGACATCACAAAGATCATGAAGGGCCAGGTCAGTGTTGGGCCTTCAGATGTCCCCTACCCCACAATCCCCAAACAGGGAAAACAGAGCCATGTATCTCTTTATTCCCCACAGTTTCAAGAAGCTGACATATTTTTACCTCCTTGGAGCTGTTGCCTGCCCCCCATGATTTCTGGATAAAATCAATGTTGGAGAGGCCAGCTGATGGGCGGCAAGTAGAGTGCCATGCCTCAGCCTGGAAGTTCTACAAAGACAGTGACGTCAGGTGTCCACAGCCAGCATGACTTTCAGCTAACACCATACCCCTCATCCCTTTTCTGTTTCCCCTCTGATTATGTAGGCAAGGAATGGACAAGGGAGAGCAGAGGAAGGGGATGAGATCCATGGGAAGAGGAAGTGGGTGTGAGAGCAATGGTCACTGGGTGGATACAGGGTCTGGAATAGGAAAAGACAACTGCCAAGGCCCTTCTGGCCACCAGCGTCACAGCCCCAATCTCTTAACAAAGTTTGAAAGAAGCAGCTGTGTAACCCCAGGGCATCCCCATGCTCCTTGACCCCTACCCTTTTAACTCTGGGGTAAAGAAGTGCACCAAATATACCATAGAAGACCTGCTCTCCATCTTCTACCAGATAGGCCATATCCAGTACTTCTTGCAGTACCAGAACCTCTCTATAATCTTCCATGAAGGTGCCAGCCCAGCCTTTGAAGAGGCTGTGGGGTCCATGATCACCCTCTCAGCTGCTTCCCACAAGTACCTGCTCAGCAAAGGCCTGGTCAGCCAACAGCACCAGGATGCAGGTGATGGGGACAACAGAAGGGCAACCTGAGCCTGGGGCTACAGCTAGGGCTGGGGCAGGGGAAGGGGGAGGACACTAAAGCTCTCAGGGCATGGCCGAAGGGATAACCAAGGCTGACTCTGAGTGTCCTGACCCCATTTCCAGAGGAGGAGATCAACTTCCTGTTGGGCATTGCCTTGGACAAGAGTGTCTTCATCCCCTTCAGCTACATGATAGATGTGTTTCGCTGGAAGGTCTTTGATGGCACTATTCCAAAGAACATCTACAACCAGGAATGGTGGAACCTCAGGTGGGGAGGTGGCTGCCCAGCAAGTGTGCAATGGTGGTGTTCTGGGAGCCTGGAGAATCCAAGCAGTGTGGGTTGTTTACCATCTCCAGACAAAAGCATACATGCTGTAATGCATAGAGCCATTGTGGGCAGCCATGAGGCCTCATTTTGAATCTGGCACCAGCAGTAAACAGGTCTCTTAACTTGCCTAGGCTTCATCTGTGAAATAAGGACCCTCGCAATGGCTCTGTCTGCTCCTGGAGTGGCTGGGAATCTCACACAATGATTTCAACTGGGCTTCTCCCAGGACAGAACAGTAACTGGGCATGGTGGCACATACCTGTAATCCTAGCCTTTTGGGAGGTGGAGGCAGGAGGTTCAGAAGGCATGGGGAGAGAATAGGGCCTTGTGGGTATGGCTCGGAGCTCAGGGGCTTGTATATAGTACATTGGAGACCAACCTGGACTACATGAAACTCTGTGCAAAAATCAAACCAAAAAATCGAACAAAAACCCAGAACATAACAGAAACCAACAAGCAGACCCTGGGTGCCTGTCTCACTCCATTCTGAGGCCAGGAGAAAGGACAGTAGAGTACTGAGCACTTTTCCTGCTGAGAGGAGTCCCCATGGAAGAGGCAGGTCACTGCCGCAACACACGCATGCCTGCCAGAGGTTTAGCATCCCCAAACTACAGAAGACTTCAGCAGTCCAGCAGGTCACTTGATTGTATAATAAATGCCTATAACCGGGCTTCTCCACATCCACCAGGTGTCAGACCAACCATTTCAAGGCTACTAGACATTTTGGATCGCCTACACACAGCTGTATAACTTTGCAACCACCCTGTGGGATGCTCCAGCTCGACATGCTTACCTTGCAGTAGTAGCAGTGGCCACATAACCAGCCCAAAGTCACACTGCACTCCAGTGCCTGGCAGAGCTGATTGCTCTTCCCTTGGTCTTCCCACTCCCTGGATTCAGTAGTTGCTCTTACTGTGGGGTCAGCAGAGTCTTGATCTGTGTCCTCTAAGGATGGCCATACCAGCCCTCAAGGCACCCACAGGGGCTCATTCCCCCTCTGCCATCCATGCCCACCATCAACCAGCCAATAGAACCCAGGGGCAGAGTGAGGGTCACCATCCTTTGGGTGGCAAACAAGAACCTTTAGAAAAAGAACCTCCAGTACTCTGTCAACTTCAGGGAATAGTTCACAGGTGCCAGTAACCAACAACATAGCAGTGAGCCTTCCCATAAGTGTCCCGTCCTAAAGATAGGTCATTTCACCCTTATTTCATATAAAGGCTCAGAGACCATCAGCTCCAGGGTCTCCCACAATCACACAGCTCAGAGGGGCTAAACCAGAGCTCCAGGTGACTGGACTATGCCAATGGCTAGTTCTGTACTCTACAGCCAGTTCCCTGACACTAAAACCTTGATGGGGCTGGAGAGATAGGCCAGCTGTTAAGAGCACTGACTGCTCTTGCAGAGAACCCGGATTCAGTTCCCAGCACCCACAATGGCAGCTAAACAACTGTCTATAACTCCAGTTCCAGGGGATCTGACGCCCTCTTCTGACCTCCACAGGTACTTGCAGGCATGTGGGCAATATACTCAATATACATAAAATGAAAAACAAAAGAATATTTAAAACCTTGATTAACTCATCTGCAAACTGGAAACAATAATCCTGCACCACAGGGATCTTTCTGTTTCTCTAGACGAAATGACCTGTCTACTGGTCTATAGTTTGACCCCATCATTAGGATGGACCTGACCTCACTTATTCCCTTGACAGCAACTCTGCAGAGAGCAGGCTGGTATTGAGTGGAGTCCTTGTGAGGAACACAACAGCTCAGAGCACAGGGGATATGCTCAATCAGCATTAACCACCATTATCTCCTTTTTTAGATTCCTGATTCTGTGTGTTCTCACTTGTCTAGTCAATGAAAATGCACTAAATGCCCTCTGCAAACCAGGCCCAGATTGGCTAGACACACACAAGTGCTTTGAAGAAGAAAAGGCTCTGAGAACATTCCAGGACCCATGACCAAGCCCCTGTCTCTGTCCCACCAGGTTGAAGTACCAGGGCTTGTGCCCCCCTGTTCCCTGGTCAGAAGATGACTTTGACCCAGGTGCCAAGTTCCACATTCCTGCCAGTGTGCCCTATATCTGGTAAAGGTCTGGGCCCTGTTGTCAGAGCTGGGCTCTGGGAGTCACAGGGACTGGGCTAAGGAAGGTACAAAGATCACCTGTGCCCTTGACCATCTCCTCCCATGGGATGCCACAGCCTGCTGAGAGCTGTGTCCTGGAATTCTTTGAGCTTTTCCTTTAGGGCTTGTGTAGAGGGCAGAGACTGTGGGAATATTCTAAGCCACCCTTGCTGCCCCCTGGTGGAAGGTAAGAAAGGGGGTAGCAAGGTGAATTGGTTCAAAAGGCTAAAGGACCTGGGACTGGCCAAAGACAGAGATTTGCCCAGAGCCATGATTGCTGGCATGGGTGCTCGTGGCCACTACATGCCCAAAGCAATCCCTAGCTTCTCACACCTAGCCTCCACTCCCCAGCCTGCCCTCTCATTCTTCTACCTAGGTACTTCCTCAGCCTGGTGCTCCAGTTCCAGTTTCACAAAACGCTGTGCAGGGCTGCAGGCCATGTGAGCCCTCTGCACCGATGTGATATCTATAACTCTAAGGAGGCAGGAAAGATCCTGGGGTGAGTGCTTTCCTTCCTCATCTGTCCTCAGCTCCCACCATCTCTCTTGAAGGGAGCCCTGCTTCAGACTCCCTCTCCTCACCATGTCACCCTGGCTCCCTGAGCAGCTTCACTGGGCATACATTCTGCCAGAAGGTCTTCCTCATGCCACACCAAAGTCTCTCCTACATTAACATAAGACTGTTTTCTCTTGTGTAGACTGCTGTGGCCAGAGACATTGTTTGGCCCCTCCTGCTATTGCCTCTTTGCCCACACACATTCACATATGCAGTAAATCAAACTGTCCCTGATGGGAAGCTAGGGCTGGCATCCTGCCTCAGCCTTTTGCTGTCCACTTGAATCCCCTTACTCATTCTTTATAAAGCACCTGACTGTCCCCTCAGCAGCATTTGAGGAACCCTTAGATCCTTCTGCCTTTCCTGCCTCTTCAAGGAGGTACTCAGCCCAGATCCCTGGTGGATCCAGGCTGTACTTATACCAACCTTTTGGCACACTTCTGGTCAGCCTGTAGTTCACTTTAACCCTCCAAGTCTTTTTTCTTGTATTTGATATTTAGCCCATTCCTTTCCAGACCTGCTGCAGTGGCATTGGTTTTTGGCCCTGAAGCAGATTTCGAGTGAGTAGGAGACCTGAACTGAATGTGAAAAGCATTTCCTGTTAGGCCAGACTCTAAGTTCTTTTTCCACATTTCATGTTGATAGTTCTTAACTTTGATGGTGGCTGATTATCACCCATTACAAATGATGAAACTGAAGGTTAGAGAGGTGAACTGATGGTCTGTCATTTATCTAGCAAGAAGGTAGGTCATGACTGGGCATGCACCTTTAATCCCAGCACTCCAGAAGCAGAGGCAGGCAGATCTCTATGAGCTCTGGGCCAGCCAGGGCTACATGAAGAAGACCCTGTCTGGAAAAAAAAAGAAGCAAGATCATGCTTTGACCCAGAACTGACTCTAAAATATCCTCTTCCTCCACATTATTGTTTCATTCAAAGGATGTAGGTCCTGATGAGATTATATCTGGTTTTTTGTTTCAAAGACCAGCTGTCCAACTATGGGAACGTAGACCACCCACTGACTGGCTCTTTATCCCTTTGATTGTTACTGGTTTCAACTTGTTTCCCTAATTGTTCAAGGTCACTTTGAGTTTTGTTTCTGCCATCCAGAGGATTAACAATGCCACCTAACTTAGTATCCCTTGATTATGTTTTTGTTTGTTTGTTTCTTGAGACAGGATCTCCCTGTAGCCCCAGCTGGCCTGAAACTCATTTTGTAGACCAGGCTGGCTTCAACCTCAGAGATTTGCCCACATTTACCTCAAGAGTGCTAGGATTAAAGGCATGTACCACCACACCAGGATACATTATTTTTTTATTTTTTAATTTTACTTCTATTTTTTGAGACCATCTTGCAATGTAGCCCAGCCTGGCCTTGAACCTGAGATCCTCCTACACCTAACCTCCTTAGAGTGCTTGGATTACAGGCATGTGCCACCTTGCCTGCCCTCGTTTGCATACTTAATGAGCATACTTGTGATTATTCCATGCAGTTTGCCAGATGACATAAGAGGGCACGCTCCTCTGAGACTGCACCTGACATGATGATCACCTCCCTCGTCTATCTGTGCTTCCTCCTCTGCACACAGGGGTTTATTATACCTGACTGCCTATTTCTGAGAGTTTCTAAGGTGATAAACCCAGGGCTCTTCTCTCTGTGACCTTCCTTTAGGCTCTGGCTGCCTGTCATGTTCATTCAACATTTATTTAGACCAGGGCTGACCAACTGCCCTGTGTCCAGTAGGGGGCAATGGACCATGAAATAAATGAAGTCAGTAAGAAAGGACTTTGGTGAATATGCAGAGGGTTAGTAAGCCGGAAACCAAAGAGGGATCCCTGTCCCCAAACCAGACATGTAAGAAATAAACATCTGTTTTCTTCATACCAGCTCACTTTTAACTCTCTGTTTATAACACCTGCTTGGTGGAACATTTGAAGTCAGTCATTATATCACTTCCTTCCTCTACGCCACCCAATTTGTGGACTCTCAGTGTCTGACTTGGTCCCCAAACAGGTGTCATTGGTCATCAGTCCTTCTGCTTCATTGTCCACACTCCTGGTCTGAGAAGACCCTGAAATCCCAGGTTGAGCACCTCAGACACCATTCTCTGAGCAGTGGGCAGAGGAGAGGCTTCTAAGAAAGGGGATGTCATGAGTTTTGGAGAAGATGAAATAGCAGAGTGGAATACAGGAGAGAGACAGGTGGTGAGAGACTTCAGATGGAGGGGCAGAGACCAGGTGTTAGCAGGCCTACCTTGCTTGCCTCACAGTATCCCAATAGGAGAAAGGATTCATTTTGCAAAAGAGAAAGCTTATTCATGAGATAGCCAAATCTAAGGAGACAGAGATCCAAGTCATAATGCCCCGAAAACAGGACCCGGGGATATGTATGGATTCAGGCATGGAGAAAGGTGATTGGTAGTTAATTAAAAGTGAAGCAACCAAAGTCTAGAAAGTTCATTCACATTTTCCCAAGGTTCATGGGTGAGGAAATGGGGGCAAAAAAGAAAGAGGAGCTTCTTTGATGCTTTCCTGCCCAAATGTATCTACAATGTGTTTTTGTTACTTTGGATTTATCCTCCTTCATGTAAATGCCTGGATCTGGACTGATTCTGTTGGGAATGGAGAGTCAAAGCAGACCTCATGTAGTTTCTCAAAGTCCCCCAGCCATAATGGACCTGGCCTTGTCTGTGGATTGTAGATTGTGTTGTCAATTTGGAGTTAGGAGCAGTGCACAGCAGCCAGCTCTACAGCTGTCTGGCCTCCTTTTCCTCCTTTAGGGGCTTATAGCTGGGGTTAGGTAGCATATACTATCCCACAGTCTTCAGAGTTGTTTCTAAGTAGACAGATTCTCAGTACTTAAAGCTATTCCCCTAGCTGAGTGTGGTGGTATATTTCTATAATATTAGCACTCAAGAGGCTGTGGCAGGAGGATCATGAGTTCAAAGCCAGCCTGGAATATATAATGAGACTCTGTCTCAAAAATAAAATGTCTTTCACATGCTAGATGTTTTCCCTCTTTCCCAGGATCTAGCATCTGATAAACTCTTGCATCAGTCATGAGTCATTTTTTTTCCTTTTTCTTTCACTCTTGATGACAACTCTTCACCTTCACTCTCTAGGATCTTAGCAGGTTTTTGCCGAGTGATTCTCTCTCTCTCTCCTCTCTCTCTCTCTCTCTCTCTCTCTCTCTCCTTCCATCCTTCCCTCCCTCTCTGTCTCTGTCTCCCCTTCCCTCCCTCTCTGTCTCTCTCTCTCTCTCTTTCATCTTTCATTTCTTTCTTCTTGCAGTTTTGGTGATCAAACCAAAGGCCTCAAGTATGCTAGGTGAATGTGCCCCATGGTTTCTGCCAAATATCTATTGGTCTTTAGCTCTCCCACATCCTCCATGCTAAGTCTCCTGAGTAGTGAGTGTTATAGACATGTGCTACCATGTTTGGCTCTAGTCATTTATTAAGTGGCATGTACAAGTCTTGCAAGTTAGAAATTTCTTCATCACCATGTGTTTTAATCCTTGCCACAAAGAAGGGCAGAAACTCATAGGGGTTCATTTTACTGATGAGGAAATTAAGGCTGAAAGAGGTTATATGCCTGAGATTTTTGTGGTCTTTTTGAACCTGGGCCCCCATACAGTGACCTCTAGGCTTCTGTGTCCTACCTCTTTCCTGGTCATCTGATCTGGAACAATAGGTTGAAAAGCATCAACATCTGCTCAGTGGTGCTGTTTGGGGAGGCCAGGGTGAGGCGCCTGGAGCTCTGGCTTTGTCACACCCTGCACCCCCATCATGAATGCAATGAGCTACTATCTGCCACCAAGCCCTGGGCATGCCTTGAGACAGCTGACATTTGTGTAGCACTGCAGGTTGTACACAGAATACCGCCCATGCTTACAGCACTTGAACCCTCTTAAGCCTTCCCTGTGAGGCCAGGGAGGGCTAAAGGGCTGTTGCTGCCTTTGGACTCCAAGTACAGCAGGAGAAACTGGGGCTCAGCCTGGCAGCCTGTCTGAGTTGAGGATAATGATGCTGACAGTGGCATTTACTGACTCTCGGCATGGTAGCAACCCTGTACTTACTGTTCTCTGCATTTATGGAGATGGAAACTGAGGCTCAGACAAATTATTTATCCAAGGTATCACAGAACAGAGCTGAGATTCACACCCAGATGAGCCTTATTTCTGAACAAATTATTGCACCCACTGTTCTGAGCTCTGGAGTCCTGGCTGGCAAAAGCTGTATGTACTGAGAGGTCCTGACAGCACCTGCTGATGCTCCCACACAGCCTCACAGCTGGCTCCACTCCCCCAGGGATGTCCTGAAGCTGGGTTCAAGCCGACCCTGGCAAGAAGTCCTAAAGGAGATGACTGGAGAACCCAAGATATCATCCAAGACCCTCTTGTCCTACTTCAAGCCGCTGCTGAACTGGCTGGTGACTGAGAACGTGAAACAGGGGGACATCCTGGGCTGGCCAGATTTCAGCTGTTCTTTTGAAGGTTGGACAAGCTATCCCTGGCCCCATGTTTGGTATAGCCCCAGGCCTCACCCTGCCCTTCTTGAGCCAGCATAGAAGTGTAGCTGGGTGACCCCATCTGTACCAGGACTGGGGCAGTCTCAGCCAGTACCTCAGTCTATATGCAGTCCCTGCTCAGTCACTTCCTTGCACACCACCCAGCTAGACTGCCAGGTTGGAATCTGGTTAGAGGGTAGGCAGCTTGCCCCTAGACTGGACTCCCTGAGGTATATTACCCTATCCACATGCATCTACTCTTTCTCATGCTCCCTTGTTGTAGGTCAATACCCTCACCTGTGGCATGAGGCTGAGAGAAAAGACCAGAGGCAGTCAAATCCACCCTGGCCACAGGGGACCCCACAGCCCCTTCTCCAGGCCTTCTTCCTCCATAAGACTTTTCTATTTTCCACAGAAAGAAACACAGGCAAAGTGTCATTCTTGGGTTTGGAACTGGAGTCTGACCAGGCCAAGATTGGACAATGGCTGCTGCTGACCCTAAGCTTTGTCATGTTCCTGGTGATCCTGTGGATGGGCTGCAGGCTGCATTATTTGGAGAAACAGTCACTAGACAAGGACAGAATGATACTCAACACCCTGCCCTACACCTACTTCCTGGGCATACCCATGGAGCCCCGCCAGGCGGCCCCAAGGCAGTGGATCCTGCTCAGCTTCTGCGTCATTCTGACACTATGCTCTATCATCCCAATTATTCGGATCCTCACACAACACAGCAGGAAACCTCCATGGATGAGAGCTGCATGGTGGGGCTTGGACTAGCCACCATGGAGACTGGTGAGGCTGAGGGATAGGGCAGGAGGAAAGCAGCCAAGACAGAGAGGATGGAGGGCAGAGAGGGTATAGTCTGTAGGCATAGTGCCAGTTGGAAATGGGTGCAGCTGTGGCAGATGTGTGCACATGTGGGTTTGTGATTGTGTATTTGCAACCATGTGAGTCAGGCACAGGTGACTGACCTTGTGTGGTTTCATGAGTGCCCTGGGTTCCAAACCAGCCCCTTTTCCCCAGCAGTTCAAAAAACAATGATTATAGTGCCCAAATCACTGTGTCCCTCTAAATCAGCCCTTAACCCAAGTCACACCCAGAGTTCTCCACGCAGCCTTGTTAGGGCTGCAGGATCTAAGGAATTTCTAGAAAAAGAACTTTCTTCAGTCCCCTTATAAACTGTCCTCCAGTAGACCTGGGCATTCCTTTATGAATTGTTCATGCCCAGTTTATGAGCACTGTGCTCTGTATACAGCCTACAGTGTCTCTGGCGATCCTCCATCCTGCCCTTTCAGGCTGCATAATCCAGTCCCCAAAAGCTCTTTGTTTGGCCACCTGAAATTCAAGTAACCTCACAAACTGCCCTGAGGCTCTCCCCACCCCCAGCCCAGGTCCTTACAAATGGAGACAGTGGGTAGCTGGGCACTGAGCCAGGCATGATTAATGATTGACTTCTTTAATATTTAAACAAAGCTCATCTCCAGCCACTCTGATCCAGAGACGGCCTTGTTCAACACACACACACACACACACACACACACACACCTGCTGCCTGGCCTATTGCCTTGGGGAGCAGGTACAGGGCAAACAGCCCTAGGGGTATTTGGGGTTTCATGCTTGAAGAATAAGCTTGACAAAGGATAGGAAGGGTCCCTGCCCTTACCCTTTGATCTTTTCTCGCCTATCTCCTGGCCATGTGGATACCACACTCAGTATTTGCAGATGTCTGGACTGAGGTTCCAGGGGTTCCTGGATATCCTGGAAGTTAGTACCTATCAGAGGACAGAAGAGACTTGAGGGAAGGTGGATTATAATCAGAAGTCACAGAGAAGAGGTAATAGGTGTCTAAAATATGAAACCAGTTCTCCCCATATTAAAGATCTGAACCAAGTAGGAACCAGACTAGGACCTCCAGGGATCCTATTTCTGCCTAGATTTCTAGACATCTCTCCAGGTTCTCCCTAAGCCCACACTTCCTATTCTAGCATCAGACTCTACAGCACCTTTGTTTGATGTCTCTGTCACTACATTTATTTATTTACTTATTCATTCATTCATTTTTTTACTCATTCATTTATTGGTGCTATAATGTCCTTATATGTCCCTGTTATTAGTATTAGGTCAATAAGACCTGACATGCATCAGGAATACCCCCTCCGTGTAGCATCTCTGATCAGTACAGGCCCTGGTACACAATAGGGATTAGGAAGATGTTTGAATGAATAAGCACATGAATCAGTAGAGTAATCCATTGCCCAAGTCCCTCCTCATGCTGAGCCTATGAGAGAAACAGTTGTCACTTTTCCTCTACAGCCAACCTGCTCCCCACATTCAAGGACAGCCAAGACACCTCTGCCCCTCAGGAGGCCACACGTGCAGCCCTCTCATCTCTCAGTCACCGTGGCCAAGGTCCCCCACCAGGTATTGTGGCTCTGCATGTCAAAGGCACACCTAGCTCAGGACTCCAAGCCTCTCATCTGGACTTCAGAAGATGCCTCACTGAGCCTCCTTGGCCATCTCCCCTTCCCCACCCACTTCATAACGTTTATTTCTGCCAGAATATTTCCTTCAAATGTCTTCAAATTTCCTTCCAAACATCAAAGTGCTAAAGAACTCAGTTGTCCATCAATTAAATCTGGATGTTCAAAATGGCATTGGAGGCTGTTTATCAGTTATTCTTTTTCTGTATTTTCACCTCTCCTGCCACTCAGTTCAGGTCCTCTGCATTGATGCCACCCTTGGCTTTTGCCTAAGGTGCATGCTCCATTTTGAATCCCTACCCATTAAGATATGCTGGCTCAAAATTGGTCATGGGACCCTCAACAAAGTGCAATGTCCACCGAATGTTTAATGAACTGTAGTCTTATTCTCTTCCCATTTCCAAAAACCCTTTCTCAATAAACTTCACCCCACCCCCATTTGTTTCTTCTAGTGTGTCATTTTCAATCAGTACTCAGACGCTTTTATCAGTGGTCACTTGCTAATAGGTGGTTTTTAAGTCTGTTCCTTCAAGCTTTCCTGTATGCTAAGAGCTCTGAGACCTCTGAAGAAGACATTGTTTTGCATATTTCTTGTTACCCTATCTTCCTAGGGGTAGCCTAGATGTGCATGGGCACTGGTGCCCTGCTGGAGGCAAGACTAATGTACCATTACCACAGTCAGACCCAGCAGTCAAACCCTGGAGAAGGCATTCAACAAAAATGCTCCTTGAGGCCCCTAACAACTTCTTTTGCCTTCCCCTTCCCTAGCCTGGGAGACTCCCCTGTACTGGGAAGAGAAACTGACTTTCAGTACCCTAAGTTCTTCCAAGAGATGCTAAAGCCACTGGCCATTGAGATAGGAGCAGTCAGACACTGGACCCTTGCCCCGCCTCCTAGGATTCAGGGCCCCGCCCCTGCTGGATATGTTCGGAGGAAGTTGCCAGGGCCCGCTTTGCCATCGCGGCTATGGTTATTTCAGCACCGCGTTGCGGACAGCTCCCGGGCTCGGAAGAGGGGAGGAGGCTACGGAACTGGGAGCCGAGGGAGGGCCAGGGAGGAGAGGAGAGGACCAGGGAGAGCCGGGAGGGCAGATGCCAGCGGGCGGGCGGGGCACAGAGCCCGACGGCCCTCCCCGGGGGCGGTGCCCACCGGAGCCGGACGCCGCTGAGCCCCAGGACTGGTGGAATTGTAGGGAGCCGGGGTCGAGGGTGGCTCTTAGTAGGCGTCGCTACTGAAAGATGCCTGTCCGACGAGGCCACGTCGCACCCCAAAACACTTACCTGGACACCATCATCCGCAAGTTCGAGGGCCAGAGTGAGTGTGGGGATTGGGAATGTGGGGGGCATCCAAGTGCTAGTTGGATGGCTGGAGAGGCCAGACCCCTTTAATAACTTCTAATGGAGAGAAGGGAGTGTGTAGATTCCAAACACAAAATCCTTTGTTTTGAAGTCCCCAACACCTCCTCCATGCTGTCCTCATCTGGGGCAGAATTCAGCTCTAACTTCTCCTCAGGGCCATTTTCTTGTTGCCCCAAACTCTGGCTTCTCCTCCAGTCACTGCCCTACCTCCCTCTCTGACTATTCATGCCTCCTCTAGAGGTTTCCTTGACTCCCTGCTTTACACCCCATGATCAGGCCTGAGTCTTACAACCCTTTACGACCCTGTGCACCATCCTGCTCCCCACTCCTTTACTCACCTCCTAACTACCAGGAGGAATGGCCTCCCCCAAGACTCTTGGTCATCCCACTCTCCCCTCCCCTGACCCTGTCATCCCTCATTCTGGTCCCTGACCTGCTCCTGCATCTAAATCCCCCTCTCAGCTGCCTTCAAGTTGCTATAATCTTTCTCTCCCCGCCACCCATTTCTGGTTGTCAGAGTCTTTCTACCTTTTACCTCCTACCTCAGGTCGTAAGTTCCTGATTGCCAATGCTCAGATGGAGAACTGCGCCATCATTTACTGCAACGATGGCTTCTGTGAACTCTTTGGCTACTCCCGAGTGGAGGTGATGCAGAGACCCTGTACCTGTGACTTCCTCACAGGTCCCAACACCCCAAGCAGTGCCGTGTCCCGCCTAGCGCAGGCCCTGCTGGGAGCCGAGGAGTGCAAGGTGGACATTCTCTACTACCGCAAGGATGGTGAGGCACAGTTGGGTCAGGGGTTCTTCAGGCCCCCTCTCTTCTCCAGTCAGGGTGGACCCTTTGATTTAGACAAATTCTATCCTCCCTCTGGGGCCCAAGTTTCCTTATAAGTAGAAGGAGGCAGTGAACATTAATACTATACCTTCTGAGTGCTTGAGACAGGGCTGAGCTATTGGTCTTAGCCTAGGACTGAGCCTCTTGCTCCCTCCCCCTTGTCCCTCCTCTCCTGGCTATCTACTCTGTCACTGTCAGCCCCAGCTGTCAGACAGTTAGGATGAAAATTAACCTTCCCTCATCTTCCTTTGCTCTGGGGATTAGGGGAGGAGTCACCTCTCAAGGCCAATGCGGAGCCAATGTGTAGACATAGGTGCTGCTGGCTGGAAAAAAGGAATGGGCCTGGTTTGTTCAACCCCAGCTCTTTGGAAAGATAGGTCTGGGGTCTGCCTAAACTTGGAAGTTCATCCAGATACACTCTGCATTGTTACTACTTCCCAAACCTGCTGAAATCAGGACAGAAATAGGTCAGAGGCTGAGGATCAAGAGCCCATCAGTCTTTGAGATCATCCCTCTAGGACGGCAGTGTCCCCAGTGCATTTATGGGGTAGAACTAGGACCAGAACCTGAAAGGCTCTTGAAAATTGCCAGGATTGTAGACACATACACACACACACACACACACACACACACACACACACACACAATCTGATTCTGCATCAGAATTATCTGGGGTATGTTTTGCAAAACACACACACACCTTCCAAAGAGACAGGCTGATTCAGAAGGTACAAGATGAGGCCAGGCAGGTGTATTTGAAAAAAAATCTCCCCAGTAGTTCCAATTTGCTGCCAATTTTAGGAATCACTGTCTTAAATAAATCCTTTCATTGTATGGATATGGAAGGCCCTTTCCCAAGATCCCACCACTAGTGGTCAACTGGAACACAAGTCTCTAGATCCCTCCCTCAAAGATATCTGTTCTTAGTATGCCCAAGAGAGAAGAAAAGACCTCAACTTCCTCCATGCTTGGAGGCAAGACTTTTGGGGAAGGAAGTATCCAGAAGAGAGAAATCTCCTCAAAGGAATACAACATGAGGGCCACCAGAGGACACAAAAAAGGGCAGGTGCCTCTAGATTGGGACAGAAGGATACTAAGAATCCAAGTTCTAAGAGACCTGGTATATGTGTGGAACCTGAGTGTGACTGTGTGTACCTGCCTACATATATGTATTTATGGGTTTCTGAGTCTTGGGCCGGTCTTCTGGCTACCCACCCCCCATATTGTCCCTTTCTTCTGAGTAGGAGGTGTGAAGTGCTGTGGTAGAGGCAACAATCAGGGAACTAGGAAGAATTTGACTTGATTTAGCAGTACTCACAGGGTTAACAAAGTCAAAATATTTTTAAAAGCTGTGATTTCACCTCTTCATTTTATTGCAAGAAGGAGGTGACAGTCAGAGGAGTGAGAAAGGTCCTGGAGGAACAAGATGGGACAGCAGGAAATGGGAGATGGCAAAAGAGTAGGTCCATTCTGTTCCTTTCCTTGGCTCCAGAATTCTACCTGTACCCCAGAGGGTGAGGGCTGATCATAAACTCCTGGGGTGGTAGGTCAGGGCTTTTAGATCCTGCAGGTATCTGGGTCTTGACCCCTGAGATTAGGATTCAGGTCTTCAGAACCTCACCAAGGTCCTTTTAACTAACAGAAAAGACCCTGGGAACCTAGTTTTGGAGGCTAGTTCTGAGTAGAAACAGGTCCAATGTTCTATAAGTTTTATTCTGCCCCTATTCTACCTTTAGGCCTTCCATGTCCTATTGTCCAAGCCTTTGACCACCTAGACTGTCCTAAAATTGACCTAAAACTCAGAGAAGGGCCTGCATTACTATGTGGTACTCAGATCATTTATGTTTACGCTAATAGTCCACTCCAACCACATGGTCCTTTAAAAAAAAAAAGTCATGTTCACATGAATTGTAGTCTTGCTGAAAGATATCCTTAATGGTGAATTTTTCCCTTCTTCCTCTCTGTCCCAACCCCTGATTCCAGGGAGGTGGGAAGGGGTCCTGAACTGATCTCTGACTGGTTTGTTTATGATCATCTTTCCCTTGAAAAGGATAACCCACTGAAAACCAAGTCATAGTAGAAGAGATGTGTCCACAGATCTATAGATTGTGTGTCTGTATAAGGTTGGCTCAACAAGCCGGGGCACTTGATACAAATTACTTTGTGAAGCTAAGGTCAGAGACCCCCTAGAAATCAAAGCTCTTCCTCTACCTCCTTTTGTCAGGAAAAGAAAGAACCTAACAGCTAAGGAAGGGAGATTGTCGCAGGGATAGAACTGTTTGGAGGGGGCACAGACGGTACTCAGGTCCAGGCCCCTTCACCTGCCCCAATGGACACCTGTCAGAGGGCCAAGCCCTACCTGCCTTTGCCAAGTCCTATAGTTTGATGAACCCAAACCAGAATCCCCTAATCCCCAAGCCAGACTAGAGGAGACCTGGAGTTTCTCCAGTCCACAGCCCCAGATGAAGAGGACAGGACAAGAGTGAGATCAGGTTCTACTGTCTGTCCTTACTCTCCCTGGTGTTTCCCACATGCTTACCCACAAACACCAGAATGGTAAATCTGGGGGCAGTATGATGCAGCCACCCTCCTGGTGACATTATCTTGTAGCATCACTCTTCCCAGGGCTAGGTGGGGTGTGCATAAAGAAATTGGGTCAGGGCTGGGGATATGGCTCAGTGGTAGAACATTTACCTTGCATGTGTGAGGTCCTAGGTTCTATCCTCAGACTCCCAAAAGTGGGGATGGGGGGAGAAGGTCTGGGAGTAAAATACAAGGAGGTTAGAAAGAGGAGAGGGTGAGGATCAGAGTGCAGAGGGGACATGAGCAGTGAAAAACAGCATGAGCACAGCCAAGAGGGATGGACGAGCAGGACAAAGGAGGAGAGCCAGAGACCAGATAAACCCACTGCGATTGCTCAGAGACATGGGTGCTGAGGAACTCCTAGAAGGAAAGAACAGGCAGAGGCTGGATCCTCCTCCAGGGACAGAGCAAAGACACTGGATCACTGCCATTCCTGGGTACAACCAAAAGCAATATACTCACCCCCGCCCCCTTCACTCACCCGGATACTCGTGTGCTCTAGGTAGGTAAGAACAGACAGCCTGAGGTGTAGGGAGAGAAAATATTCTGAATTCTTCCAAATTTTCCTAGCCTCCTACCTGCCTACCCAAGTAGCCAGCAGGGATGTAGGGCATAGGATGCCACGCACTGACCATACCAACTTCCCTGCTACAATGGTCCATTCCAAGATTGTTTTCCAGTGAGAGCATCAATGGATGCAGCCATTTGAAGACGGCCTTGGCAGTTCCCAGAGGCACAGAAAGTCTGGAGATCCTGTGCTTCGGCCGGGCTCTATCCCTTCCCCACCCTCTTCTAGGATGATCTCCCAGTGTTAGAAAGACTGAATATGGCGTGGCCTTAGGCACAGGGACATCTTCATGCCCCAAGCTCAGCAGTCACTGCAGCACTGTGAACCCAGGAGTGGCTCAACAGGCAGGCAGGCTATCTGGTGTGGATATCTCCCCTGGGCCAGGCAGCAGCTGACAGATGGCTGCCTGGTGCCTGGGAGTCCAGGAATCTGATCCAGAGGATTCCTGCTCCCCAGAGGAAAGTGGGAGGGAGGATAGGGGAGGTACAATTGAACCCCAGCTCTTGATAGTCATTGGAAAGAGGGGCTCAGAAAGTAAGCACTAAGTAGGGAGTCTGGGAAAGAATGATTCTGGTGTTCCCCAAAGTAGCAGTCCTGCTAGCTGGTTTGTGGCCCTTGCTGGCTCACATTTACATTCACATGCTTTCTTCAATCCATCAGTTATCCCTTGGAGGGTGAGACAAACCCAAACCTACCCTCTAGGAGGAAGGATTGACTTTCTCATTTGCATGGTCACCTGAGACTACCGTCCCCGAAGATCCTGCCCTTTGGTCCTGACATCTGACAGTAGTTTAAAAGATATAGTATCCCCCAGGGGTATCCACTCACAGACTGCACTCTGAGGTATGCAGCATTTTAGCACATACTGATCCACCTATCAGTGGGGTAATGGTGAGAGCCTAGAAAAAGGAGCGACCAGTGTGGCCAGAGGTGCAGGAGGGTCCAACATCTGGATCTGGGCTGATGAGGGGTTTATTCTGCTTCTACAAGGCCTTCTTCCTCCCTCTCTAGCCCCCAGGCCACTGCCCTGCCTGTTCCTGGGTCCAGCTCCATCCTCAAAGACAAAACCCTTCCCTTTCTCCAAGCTCATGCACTGAGAGACTAGGGGTTCTTACCCCCTATCCTCTCTCAACCCCAACAAATCACTTTCTCTCAGAGCTCTTATCTGCAGAACAGGGGTCTAGGCATGCCCCCAGGACCTCCTAAGGCCTAATTTGCCAATTGGCTCCATGCCCAGTACTTAGTGCATTCCCAACAAGTTCCTTCTGGCATCAAGGAAGCTATATGGGAGCTGAGCCCAGGGCCAGCCAGAGCGACAAGAGGATGGCATGCTCTACCTTACCTCCTAATGTAATCTACCCCCATTTGCTGAGCTTTAATTACCACAGAAGCAAACCTCTCGTGCTAAGCCCTGAGCTGAGGGCTGAGCACAGACTTGGTCCTAATACTACATTATCTTCTAATGAACAGCTTAGCTGCTCTGCACTGTGGGAGGTGGGGCACCAGCTGGGAGCTTCACCCACCCTCTGCCCAATAGCCCTGGTCACTGTCCAGGCATCTTCTCTCCAGTGGATGCCCTTCACTCCACCTTCACTCAGGCCCTTTGTCAGTCAGGTCCCTGCAGGAAGGGCCCCCTTAGTGACCAATCCCTGTCCCTACCAATGGCGTTTGCAGCCTCTAGCTTCCGCTGCCTGGTGGATGTGGTGCCCGTGAAGAATGAAGACGGGGCTGTCATCATGTTTATCCTCAATTTTGAGGATCTGGCCCAGCTCCTGGCCAAGAGTAGCAGTCGAAGCTTGACCCAGCGCCTATTGTCCCACAGTTTCCTGGGCTCTGGTAAGTATTGGTGGGTGACAACAGTGACTGGGGAGAGTTGGGGCTACCCAATGGAGCAGTCAGTGCTCTGGCCCTGGCCGCTCTGACCCTAACCCTGATTTCAGAGGGCTCTCACAGCAGGCCAGGAGGACAGGGGCTTGGCTCAGGCCGAGGCAAGTACAGAACTGTCAGCCAGATTCCACAATTCACGCTTAACTTTGTGGAGTTCAACCTGGAGAAGCACCGCTCCGGCTCCACCACGGAGATTGAGATCATCGCTCCCCATAAGGTAGTGGAGCGGACACAGAATGTCACAGAGAAGGTCACCCAGGTACTGGCCTGCAGGGCGGGGAGGGTGGGCTGTACCAGGCCTCCAGGGCCCCCTCCAAGGTCTTGGCTCTCAGCTCTTCTGAAACCTTGTCTAGCAGAGAGATGTGACTTGTCCAACCACCCACTCCATGTTTGCTCTACATCCTCAGCCTCCTGTGCTTCTTGAGTCTGATTCTTCAGACGTGAAAGCCTGAGGCCGGGCTCCTGAAGCTAGTTGAGGTTGAGGTTAGCCAAGGCCTGTGAGCTGCCAGGAGGGTAGGAGGGAAGGACATGCATCCCACCACCAGGGCTTGCCCAAGGCTCGGCCATCACAAGGAAGGAGAGACACAGAGTAGATGAGTCAAAACTGCACAAAGAGGAGAAGGAGAGATAGCACGGGGACCCCTGCTCTGCTCTTGCCTTTTGTTTTTCAGACAGTGGCCACTTCCTCCCTCAATATATACAGGGTATGCCAGGAAGAGGTGGGACAGAGCTGGCACCTCTAGGTAACTTTAAACAACATCCTCAGGACCCATCCTTGAATGCCCTTCTGCACATCCCCTATTTGGATGGCCCAAGGCAAATGTCTCTTCCTGGGTCCTGTGTTTCAGCTGATCCCACTGTCCCTTCTTATGGGGCTTAATGGACTGATTATCCCAGAGGGTAATGCAGAGAGACTTGCTTGAGAATAAAGTGACCAGGGTCCTTGCACTGACTCACTATGTGACCATGGGCAAGGGACACCTCTGCTTTTGGGCCACAGGACTATCATCTTCAGGGAAGTGTTGGTATTAAATAGTACCACCCTAGGAAGCAGAAGACACTATTAAGCCTAGGTCACAGAGAAGCAAAGGACTACAGAGGAACCACCTTTTTCCTGTCCCTTCTGATCTCAAGCACAGTCAGTGCTGGAACCAGCTGAGGGGGGGGGAGACTACTTAGTCCTACAGACAGGATTAGGGAAGGGCCTGGCAGAGGGGGAGTGGCTGCTGTGACCTACTGCTTTGCATCAGAGCTCAAGCTGCTAGTGATCCTTCGCTGGCCTCTAGTTGAAAGCCCAATGTGGACTCAGTGCTGGAGCAAAAGGATGAGCTGTGTGGGCAAGGGAATGTAGGCTTCTGAGCTTATAGTTCAGTGGAGAGTAACCATGGGGTCAGGGTTGCATAAGTGGCAGAGAAAAAAGATGGAAAAAGAGGGTTCAAGTCTTAATATGGGATCAGAGATAGGTCCCTGGGAAAGTAAAGTTTGGGCAAAGCCTAAACATTGGGCCCAGCAGGAGGATGCTGTGGTCCCCACTGTGGAGTCTGGATGTCAGATCAGTACCCATCTAGTAGAAACCAGTACTTACTATGATCCCACTTAACTGATCTTGTATGCAAAAGCAAAACTGATTTTCTTTTAAATTTTTATCTATTTATTTTCTTTTTCTGGTATTTTTGAGACAGGATCTCCCTGTAGCCCCAGCTGGCCTGGAACTCACTATGTTGACCAGGCTGGTCTCAAACTTACAGAGCTCTGCCTGCCTCTGCCTCCCAAGTGCTGGGATTAAAGGCACATGCCACCACTCCTGGCCTTTAATTTTTTTTTAAATTTTATTTATTTTTTTATTTTATGTGTATGAGAGTATTTCCTGTATGTAGGTAAGTGCACCCATATCATGCAATGCTGGCAGAGGTCAGAAGAGGCTGTCAGATCCCCTGGGACTGGAGTTATGGACATTTGCTAGCTGCCATGCGGGTGCTGGGATTCGAACCTGGGTCTTCTGCAAGAACAACCAGTGTTCTTAACCACTGAGCCATCTCTCCAGCCCCTAAAACTTTTTTAAAATTTTTTTATTTTATGTGTATGAGTGTTTTGCCTGCAAGTCTGTAGGTGCACCATATGCATGCAGTGCCCACAGAGGCCAGAAGAGGGCATTTTGCAGATAGCCTAGAACTGAAGTTATAGATTGCTAGTTGCCATGTGGGTATTGGGAACTGAACCCAGGTACTCTTGCAACAGCAGCCAGGGCTCTTAACTACTGAACCATCACTCCTGCCCCATGGCTGATTTTCTTAAACCAGAACTATACAGCAGATCCCATATGATGGTGGAGGGATCAGTGGGGTAGTCAATCCCTCAGGCTCCATCCTTGCTGGAGAAATGTCAAAGAAAGATGATAGGGCAAGAGGATTGAGTAGGAATGATCATCTAGAAACATATTGATACATCCTGTTTTATCACAAACCCAGGCATTGTGTTGTCCTTTGTTATCTCATTTTGCAGATGAGGGAACAGAGGCACAAGAGATTACTAGGCTTGCCCCAAGGCATAGATAAACCCAATATCAAGGGATTTAACCTGGAGAGTCTGACTTCAAAATCTATGCCCTTCCTTACACCCCAGCTGAGGGTTGGGCAGCTGAGTAGAGCTTGAGCTTTCTTGTCCTCAGTCCTAGCAACCATCCATCACTACAGTCTTGGAGGCAGGGATATGAGAGATGAAAGGGAAGCACTCTACAAACTGTGAGGAAGATGGGGCTCCACAATGTCTATGACATATTGAGGGTTCAGGTTGGCTGAACCCAAGCCCAAATTTGGCTCTTTCCATGGGAGGCTTTGAGAGTTGGCTCCAGGGAGGACATTTACTGGCCCTCAGGAATGAAGGGTCTCTTTTGGAAATGACCTGTTCCCATCAAGAGTCCCAGACTTGGGTTGAGTATTTAGCTCAGTGGAGAGCACTTGACTGGTATGTGTAAGACCCTGAGTTCAATCTCCAGCACTGAAGAAAAAAAGAAAAGGAAAAATAGCTCAATGGACCACCAAAGCCTATTAGAGAGGAACAGCCCACCAAACTACTCAATCTAGGCTCTTCTTGGACCATGCTCAAGATGGCCCTGGGCCTGGCTCTACCCACTCCAGTTTCTGAGAAAACTTGTGAACTTCAAACCTGTGCTCAACCATGGGACAGAGATGCATCCCTCTTCTTAAACCCCACCTCCTCCTGACACACCTCTCCCCATGTGCCTTTTCTTTGCCCCTCTGCCCTTCACAGCCTTTGTGACCCACCCACATCTCCCTTCCTAGACTTCCCCAGCAGAGCTGTCTTACTAGCAGTGGCTGTCCCCACTGACTACCTATGTCTTCTATCTCAGGTCCTGTCCCTGGGCGCAGATGTGCTTCCAGAGTACAAGCTACAGGCACCCCGCATTCACCGTGGCACCATCCTGCATTACAGTCCCTTCAAGGCCGTATGGGACTGGCTCATTCTGCTGCTAGTCATCTACACAGCTGTTTTCACACCCTACTCAGCCGCCTTCCTGCTCAGTGACCAGGATGAGTCACAGCGTGGCACCTGCGGCTATACCTGCAGCCCACTCACTGTGGTGGACCTCATTGTGGACATCATGTTCGTCGTGGATATTGTCATCAACTTCCGCACCACCTATGTCAACACTAATGACGAGGTGGTCAGCCACCCCCGCCGCATCGCAGTCCACTATTTCAAGGGTTGGTTCCTCATTGACATGGTGGCTGCCATCCCTTTTGACCTGCTTATCTTCCGCTCTGGCTCAGATGAGGTAAGTATTCCCTGTTTGTGCCAGCAGCCATGGCAGTCCCCTGCATCCTAGTCCCAAAGCCTCCCTGCCTCACAGCTATGGTGCACAGAACTGATGCAGACAGCAAGTGGAAAGGTAGGAGGGCAGCTTGGGACACTGTCCTCTCCCAATCCTGGAGAAAGACCAGCTGTGCCTCTAGACCTAGAGACTATCTCTCTGAGGAAGCCCAATGAGAGGATAGGCTGCCCACAGGTCTAGAATTCTGCCCCCTCTGAGACAGGCACATCTATAACCCCAACTTGTTAGGCCGCCTCCAAAGCTACCCTCACCTTGGAGTTAGAAAGGGGATCCCTGGGCTGAACCCTCATTGCAGCCTCATCCCCTTCTTGCCCCAGCCTATGCAGCAGGGAGTGTCATACAGTATACTAACCACCCCCACCCCAATCACTCCCCAAGGCCTCACTGCCCCTGCCTACATTAAGTGGCCTTCATTCATCCCCACCTTTATTTCAGGTTTTGTCCCCTCTATCCAGCAGCCAGAGCAAGTTTCAGGTCATTTATCCAGCCCTGCCATTCCTCCCAAAGGTTCTCTCAGAACCTTCCATGCCTCCCAAAGTCTTTAGGATTAAAGCTCTTTATAGATCCTGCCATCCACAGGAGGGAGCAGCCCCACCCATCTTCCCAGACTCCTTTCTCTCTGTCCTGCAGTCTTCCATTCTGAGCTCCAGGCTGCAGGGCCATGCCTGGTTTCCCATATGGACCACACCATGCCTCTGCCTGTGCTACCCTGAGCCAAAAGTGCCCCTTCCTCTCTCTGGAGACCTAGCCCCATTCTCAAGATGCACTTCAGTGTCACCTCCGTTAAGCCTTCCCTGACCTGCTCCTGCAGACTCGACCTCTCTGCCCTCCTTGCTCCCACTGCACTTCTCTCCTAGCAGCTAGAACACTGGTCTGTGCTTTAGGCTGAGAGTTCCTTTAGGTCCCACCACTGTGTTCTACTACCAAGTGCCCGGTACTTCCCTGAGTGTTTGTGGAATGGCTATGTGATTACATATGTATGCAAGACTGAGTGTACCCTTTCAAGAGTTGACCCCTCAGCTTTGTGGATCTTTCCTATCTCATCCCCAGACTACCACCTTGATTGGGTTACTGAAGACAGCGAGGCTGCTGCGGCTGGTGCGTGTGGCAAGGAAGCTGGACCGCTACTCTGAGTACGGGGCTGCTGTACTATTTCTACTTATGTGCACCTTTGCACTCATCGCACACTGGCTGGCCTGCATCTGGTATGCCATCGGCAACGTGGAGCGACCCTACCTGGAGCCCAAGATCGGCTGGCTGGACAGCCTGGGTGTACAGCTTGGCAAACACTATAATGGCAGCGACCCTGCCTCAGGCCCTTCTGTGCAGGACAAGTATGTCACTGCCCTCTACTTCACCTTCAGCAGCCTCACCAGTGTGGGCTTTGGCAACGTGTCACCCAACACCAACTCTGAGAAGGTCTTCTCAATCTGCGTCATGCTCATCGGCTGTGAGTGTGTGGCCTTGTGTTGTGGGTCTTAGTCATGGAATTATGGTTTTAGTTTGGAAAAAGATAAAATGTTGCATTCACTAACAATGTATGCAGGATAGTCATCCTGAATGTGCAGCAATGAAGGTCTGTGTACATGTGTGTACCAGTCACACACAGAATTGCTCTAAGCCAAGTCAGTTGCAGGGCCCACTGTAAAATAAAGCATAGAGATCTTGTTTTAAAATTACCAAGCATTCTTAGATGATGTTAGCTGAGAATCAACCTGGAGTCTGAACGCAAATGGCATGCAAAGTTCAAATTCCTGAATTGCCAGGAGGCTCACAACCAGGAAGTCTCCAGTCAGCCCCAAGGCCACCCCAGGGGTCACAGTGCAAGGCAGGTTTGTTTTTATCCCTGCACAGAGCTGCCTGCCTCCCAAGACACCTGGTTTAGGAACTTGAGAGGTGGTGTGGAAATTGACGCATAGATTAAGCTGCCATGTTCAGAGAGCTTAGAGATGTAAAAGCCTAGAAAAACAAAATAAGGAGATGAAAAAAGGGGGTGGGTGAAAAACAAGAGTTTTCCCTGAATTGTATTTTTACAACTTGAAAGAGAAAACAAATCTGAACTTGGAAAAGAAAGAAATCCATGGCTCTAGTTCTTTCTTTGAAGGCGTCTGGTCTCTGGGGCCTGGAAAGATGCTAAGAGGCAGGAGAGTGAGAAGCTCAGAGGCTTTTGTCCCTCATGTGCCCTAGAATTTGGGTCTCTTCTACCCTCACCCTGGACATAGGGGTCCTTCCCCAGGGTCCTGTCAGGGATCGGGAGGTGGCGGCTCACGGAACCCCCGCCCCCAATCCCCGCTCGCTCCTCCTCTCCCCCAGCCCTTATGTATGCCAGCATCTTCGGCAACGTGTCGGCCATCATCCAGCGCCTGTACTCCGGCACCGCACGCTACCACACGCAGATGCTGCGCGTCAAAGAGTTCATCCGCTTCCATCAGATCCCCAACCCGCTGCGGCAGCGCCTGGAAGAGTACTTTCAGCACGCCTGGTCCTACACCAACGGCATCGACATGAACGCGGTGAGCCCTGCAGCCCTGCTTGGGGAGTGGGTGGGCAAGAAGCTGTAGCCAATGCCCCTTGGGAGGTCAGGGTTCTGAAGCAGGTGCAGGCCGACCCAGCTCCGCCCCAGCTGCACCCCGATGGATTCCCCGCGCATCACCCCCGCACCCCGCAGGTGCTGAAGGGCTTCCCCGAGTGCCTGCAGGCTGACATCTGCCTGCACCTGCACCGCGCCCTGCTGCAGCACTGCCCCGCCTTCCATGGCGCGAGCAAGGGCTGCCTGCGTGCATTGGCCGTCAAATTCAAGACCACGCATGCGCCGCCCGGGGACACGCTGGTGCACCTGGGCGACGTGCTCTCCACCCTCTACTTCATCTCCCGCGGCTCCATCGAGATCCTGCGCGATGACGTGGTCGTGGCCATTTTAGGTGAGTCAAGCGGGGTGGACCAGGATATGGGGATATGCTGTCAAGTCTCTACCTGGGCACATTTTATTGATTAACCAGTATATCCTGAGACCCAGCGTGGGTCTCAGAGAGCCTTAGAAAAAAGTTGTTTTTGACATTTATTCATTCATTGGGTAGGGGCACCACAGCGTGCGTGTGGAGGGAGATAAGAGGACAACTTGGTCAGTTCTCTCCTTCCACCATGTGGGTTCTGAGGATCCAACTTAGGCCTTTCAGCTAGGCTGCAAGCCACATTATCCTCTGAGCTATCTCACTGGCCCCAGAGAGTAGCTCAAAGACTCCATAACACACCACTCTGCCATGTGTTTCATTTTCTTGATAGGGGAGATGAAACTCAGAGAGGTCAGGGTAGTCAGTAGTCACACAAGGATTCCACACAGGGATTCCAGGCCTGTGAGTCTGACTCAGAAACCCAGGCAAGCAGCTCCTACCTTCTTCCACTCTCAGAGTGTTCACGGTGGCAGGCTAAAACTCTTGGTTAGGTTTTTTTGTTTGTTTGTTTTGTTTTTAATTTTGTGTGTATGAGTGTGCCTACCTGTATGTAAGTGCACTGGTGTCAGAAGAGGGTGCTGGATCCCCTGGAACTGGAAGTACAGATGGTTGTTAGCCACCATGTGGGTGTTGGGAACTGAACTTGGGTCCTCTGCAAGAACACCCAGTGCTCTTAACTGCTGACCCATCTCTCCAGCACCTCTTGGTTAGGGTCTTATTTGATGTAGCTATAAAGATAACCGACTACTTTCAAGGAAGGCCTGGCATGTAGCCTTGGGCAAGTGGCTTGACCTCAAGGACCACAGAATCCTCTCCTCTCTACACCTGTGATTTCCCTTGACCCTGAGCCTCCAATTCCAACTTCAGTAATATGCCACCATCTGCTTTTTTTTTTTTAATGTATATGAGTGTTTTGCCTACATATATGAATCAAGCGTGTGCTTGGTGCCTGTGGAGGCTAAAAGAGGGCATCAGATCCCCTGTAACTGGAGTTACAGATGGTTGTGAGCCACCATGTGAGTTCTGGGAAAAGCAGTAAGTACTCTTAACAGCTGACCTGACTCTCCTCCAGCTCCCCTTCCCACTTCTCTCCCTCAGCCTGTCTTCAATGACTGCTCACCAAGTGCTTGCACTCTGCCTTTTTTTCACCTGGGCCAACCCCTTGTTCCCACAACCTGAGCCTCTTGTGCCACAAGGGCCTCTAGAGCTCTGTTCCAATCCCATTTCTCCTTAGATCAAAACAAGCAGGCAGCTGGGGATGTGGCTCATTTAGTAGAGTGCTTGCCTAGCATTCATTAAGGCCTGAGTTCAATCCCTAGCACCGCATAAACCAGGCATGGTGGTGGGTGCATGCCTATGATCCCAGCACTCAGGAGGTAGAGGCAAGAGGATCAGACATTCAAGGTCATCCTTGAACATACTTCAAAGCCAGGCTGGGCTATATGAGACCTTGTCAAAAAGAAGAGGGAAGGGTGAAAATAAAAGCAGACCAAGTGCAATAGATCCCAACTCGAAACCACCACTTTCCCTCAAAAGCAGCCTCTTTAGCACCCTTGCCCATCTGGCTAAAGCCAACCACAGGCGCATCCTATCTGCTCCATGCCCGTGGACCACCATCCAGTGAGCCACAGAGCCATCTCTAGTTCCCCTTCTGATAGATTTCCTTTCCACACCAATCTCCTTGTCCTGAACTGGGTCTGGTTCTCCTTAGGGGCCCTACCTGAGGCTCTGCATCTGGTGCATCCTCCTTTCTTCCACCTTCCACCTTCCACCAGTGAGTGACCTGATACACACCTGTATTCCTCTTCCACTCAGAATCCCTTGGTAGATCCTCATGGCCTGTGAGACAAACAGAAATCCTGGATTGTGGCATGCGTAGTTCCACTCAATCGAGCCTTCCTCCCTGGTACTTCATGCTCCATTCAGAAAACTACTCAGCCCTCTGTTCCCCATACCTCTGCTCATGCTGCCATTCCCTCTCCACACCTGCCCTGCACCTGTCGGACAGACCCCAGCCATTCTCTAGGCTGGGCTACAGCATGGACTCTTTTGTGAGCCCTTCCCTCTCACCCAGGCCACCTTGCAAGTGCCACCTACATTGGAGGGATAATTATTATTAATAATTAAGAAGCTAGTCCAATTTAAGTTTCAGTTTGAGACATGAAATCCTCTCATCTTGTCCTGAGTGGAAATAGGTATTAGATCATAATTTTTCATGTGCTAAAAAATGAGTGTTGGCATCACATTGTTCAGATATCAAGATTCAAGGTTTCATGTGTGGCCCTGGAAAGTTCCTTATTGCTCTAAGCCTCAGACCCCACCTTCATAGGAATGACCTTCCATTCTGCTCTCTTGGTAAGGCATGCCTATCCTTCACCTAGCCCCTGTCTCTGCTTAGCTATTAGTAGCCCTTGTGTACAGTCACCAGGCTGAAGGGGCTGGGCTTTCCTGGGGGCAGTAGGATCAAAGAAATCATGGTCCATGGCATCTGTGACCCTGACCTCCCTGCCTCCAGCCTTGACCATGCAGGGCTGACCACATGCTGTTTCTTCTGCCCAGATTGCCTCCCTCTGGGAGGGAAGGGGGGGCTTGTCCTTGATAATCTTGGAACTTCTTCTGAAAGCCTCTGCCTCCATGTTCTAACCACCCTTGGCAAAAGGAGCCCTTCCCTCATCCACAGCCCACAGCTCTTGGTTGTTCCTTTCTAAGGTACTCTAGATCATTCTGTAAATTTGGTCACTTAAGTGCCTATCTTCTGGGGATTTGAAGGGTTCCCTATGGGAAAAAGAACTTCTTTTCATTTTCATATTGCCAGCATAGCACCTGGCTTTGAAAGGGCCTAATACCCTTGCCACCTTCCCTGAGTATCCAACCCCCCAATTGCCCACCCCACATCCACCCTGTGACCTCCATCCCTCCTCATGCCTTGCACTGACTTAGTCTGAGGCCCTTGCTTTGAGGTGGGGGGCACTTCCTAAGCATTGCCGCCACTGCTGGGAACATCCCAGTTGGGTAGGGAAAGCAGACATGGTTATGCCTGTTTGAGAGTTGAAGACACTGGAGTGCAGATAGGGGAAGTGGCTTTCCCCAGGGTTCCCCCTGCTGGGGCCCTGACTACACAATAGGAGGAAGAATATGAAGAAACAGAAGCTTTAGGCCCTGCCCAGGGGGAGCTGGAAGCTTCCAGCACTGGGTCCTCTGTCCTCTGCTCTCCAGTGTCAGCAGGTCAAGGGAAGCAGGAGGAGACTGGGCATGAAGCCTTTAGTGTCCCTTGCTGCCCACTGTCTTCAGGCCAGAGTGGGGGCAGTGCTAGAGTATGAATAGAAAGAGAGGAAATTCTGGAAGAGGGTGGTTCTAAGGGGTTCAGAGACAGAAAAGAGCCCATATTCTCAGGGCTGGAGCAGATCTGAAGGGGCCTTTGTGGAGCTCAGAGGACATGTGAAGAGCACCCACTCATCCTCCTTCCCAGGATGGCCAGCCCAATACAGCTCTGTCCTCTGGCTTTGATCCTAAGCACCAGGCCCCAGCTCTGCAGGATCTCTGAGGTGGAAGGTAGAGAGATCATAGGCAAGGGACCCTCAGAGAAGACCTTAGAGGGACTACCACTTTTCTGGCTGGCAGGGAAGAATGACATCTTTGGGGAGCCTGTTAGTCTCCATGACCGGCCAGGAAAGTCCAGTGCTGACGTGCGTGCCCTGACCTACTGTGACCTGCACAAGATCCAGCGGGCAGACCTACTGGAGGTGCTGGACATGTACCCCACCTTTGCAGACACCTTCTGGAATAAGCTGGAGGTCACATTTAACCTACGGGATGTGAGTCTGGGCCTGTTGGCCAGGGTGGGTGGCAAGTCTCAGCTGGTGAGGGATAGTGGCCAGTCTGCTAAGAACTTGGTCTCCCTGGCCTAAGAAACTCATTTGTCTATTGTCCCTTCCTTTTAACCCCTTCTGCATCCTTTGCCAGAGTGCCTTCTGTGCCTACCATGGCCAACATAACACTCCCTAACTATAGTGGTAGCTCCTATCTATTGGGTAGCTACCATGTGCTAGGTACTGGGCTTCTTTTGTGTTATTTTATTTAGTCTGTCCTTGCATGTGGTGTGCTTATCTTCCATTGTCTAGATGAGTAAAGTGAGGATCAGAGAGGATAAATAAACAAGCCAAAGCCATACAGCTAGTAAATGGCAGAGCCAAAATGTGAATTCAAGTCTGTCTGTCTCTAAAGCCCAGACTTCCACCACATGGCATCAAGCTGAAAAGATATCTGACATCCAGAAGGTTCAAGGTGTCAGGCACTGGAGGGAGGGGGGGTGAAATGCTAACACTGTCTCTCAGTCTCTGAAACTCATCAGAGAAGATTATAGCAACTCTGGAGCAATAAAGAGTCACTCAGTTAAAAAACCAAAGAAGTTATAAGGGTGCAAAAAAGACCAAATTTCTAGGGTACTCTAGCTTGCCACGGAGTAAAGTGGACACTACAGGCTCTAGGAAAGTCCAGAGGGACTTCCTGGAGGAGGGATCTGTAGTCAGCTAGTAAGGAGGAAAAGGAGGTTTGCCTGCCAGGAGTACAGTGGCTAAGGCTGGGTACTGAGCTCCACACCTCCATTCTTTGTTACCTCTGCCCCTCAGCCTCAGGACGAGGGTGCTGGTAGCCTAGGCCTGGTACCCAGATTCTGGAGTGTGGTGCCATGGTATATTTTCTTGTTGTGGATGGTCCTCTTCATGCTGTCCCCTCTGTGACCCTCCCTTCCCCACTTGAGCTGTATAGAAGACACCCAATAAGGACCATGCTTTGCTGATGTAGCTACTGGGAGCCATCTGGTGGCCTGTGTGTCTGGTGGCTGGACACCAGAGCAACAAGGATGTGTTTTTCATGGTCTTAACTGACTTGGGCCTACTGCAACCCTGAGGTGCCCCCAAGTCTCATGGTGGCAGAAGGGCACAGCCACAGAGGCTGCCAAGGATACTTCTAGAGTAGACTTGGGGTTTGACACCCAGTTTCCCCCAAATACACTCCCTACTTGTCTATGCTGAGGGATGGCACACAAGGGCATTGGAGAAAAGGGATACTAGAAGAGGAATCCTTCTACCTTCCATCCTCAGATGTTGCTGTTCATTGCAGCCTCTCCCAAGATCTTGCTAAGGTTTCTATTTGGCCACCCAGTGTAAGGTCACTATCTCCAAACCTGTTAGGAGAGAGGCCACAGGAAGGTCACTATCTCCAAACCTCTTAGGAGAGAGGCCACAGGAAGCTTCAAGAGTTTTGTGTCAGATACCTGTCTCTACTTTCTCCCCTGGCTGTCACAAGGGCCACAGAGGGGAGCTGGGGTCAGGGAAGAGCAAGGAGGCCCTGTCCCAGCTTTAGTCCCTGTTACTTGATGCTGTTTTTCCCTACAAGGCAGATGGGGGTCTCCAGTCATCACCCCAACAGGTTCCAGGAAACGAAGACCACCAAGGCTTCTTCCTCAATGACAGCCAGTCAGGTGAGCCCAGCCAGTACCTGCCTGGAGCCTTTTCCCAGCCTCCTACCCCTTATCTGTCACCTCTATGCATCCTTTCCTTGGAAGACACTTTCTCAGCCCCTCAGTGATAGGGAGAGATTCTTTCTAGGACTCATGAATGAAGCCTTTGTCCCCTTTCCTCCCTAGTGTCCTAGCCCTGTGTCCTGTGTCAGAGAGGGATGACTCCCTGGTTGCTGGGTGCTGTTTCCAGGAGAGGGTACTTGCCAGGGGAGGGTACTTGTCTGGGGTTCCACAGCAAGGTACCAGGAGACCTTCTGGACTGTAGCTCTCTGACCAATGAGGCTAGGGCTAGAAATCCCCACCATGGCCACCTCATTTAAACTGAGGTGCCAGATTCCCTTGTATGGGTGTGCCTGTTTGAGCCCTGGAAGCAGCCCTCCATATGAACAAGACCTTGTGCCTCAGGTTACTCAGGCAAGGACAGCCACTCCTTATATTGTATTCCCATGGCGAGTAAAGCAAGGGCTCTGGTGAGAAGGGACAGGCCTGTGGAATCACATAGAACAGAGATGTCTCCTTCCCTCCTGCAGGTGCGGCACCTTCTCTGAGTATGTCAGATGGGTCTGGGCTCTGGCCTGAATTGCTACAGCAAATTCCCTCAAGTCCCCCAAACCCACAGCAAGACCCAGACTGCTGGCCTCAGGAACTGGGCTCCAGACTGGAGCAGCTCCAGGCCCAGATGAAAAGGTAAGAATTCCCCTGGCAAGACTGGGGCAGTTACAAAGGACCAGCCTAGCAGCAGGCTGGGTGCGGGTGCCCCCTCCTGGTGGTTTAGGGACATCACTGGGTGCTGGGTGGGTTTTAAAATGACTGGCCTATTTAGCACAAGTTTCCTAATTCTATGTCACTAAGCAGAATTTCTTGAATGGCTTCACCCAGCAGACCCTAGAATGTGCTGAGGAAGCTTCTTGGGGAAGGGACATATCCATGTGCAGAAACAAATTCCATAGATCCTTGAAAAGAAGGTGTTGCCTGTGGATTACAGAGTTTAAAGGCAAGGACAGTTCTGGATCCAAATCATGGCTCTGTAATTCATTAGCTAGAGCATGGACAAGCTCCGAGCTTAACAGCTCTGTGCCTCAATTTGTCATGTCACGGAATGGGTATAATTAGAATACCTATATTAAAGCAGCATTAGAACTGAATTTTGTGTGCTACAAGCCTGGTGTTGTCAAAGTAAAGGATGTACTAAGGGGACTTTGAGCAGAGGCTGGATTCTAGGGGGGAAATAGCTTCAGGTAGGCCCCAGACTGCCATTTCACTTGTCAGGAAGGGCAGACGGGCTACGAAACTGAGAGGTGCCTTAGGGCCCTGAACTGCTCTCAGACTCGACCTTGACCATGGGGCTCTGTCTTCAGGCTGGAGTCCCGCATGTCCTCAGACCTCAGCCGCATCCTACAGCTGCTTCAGCAGTCCATGCCACAGGGCATGGGAGCTTCTGCCTCAAGTAACCTGGCCTTGTTTCCTGCAACCTTAGCAACTCAGAGTCCAAGGCCCAGGCTTCCCTTGGACCACGTGCCCCCTGCACAGGTGAGAAGTGAGGGGATCCCAGGGCTTTCCCTGGAAGTAGCTGCATGATTCCCCACCCCCAACTTGGTCTTAACAAGGCATCAGACCCAGAGTGTCTGTGGTGGGAACAGAAACTGTGACTTCTGCTGCCTTCTTTTATGATTTGCATCATTCTGACAGGGCAGCCTGGAAAGGGTGGTGGCAGAGCCCTAACTGTGACCACAGACCCCATAGCTCGTGCAGGTACAACAGGACCCAAAGGTCCCCATCTCCCTGAGGAGGAGCAGGTAGAACTCTTGCTAGTTCCTATCACAGAGGTCAAAGTGGATTAACATCCAGCTTAGAGGCTAGGGAGATAGCTCAGTTGGTAGAGTGCTTGTATAAGCATGAGGACTTGAGTTCCATCCCCACCACCCATGTAAAAAGCTGGGTATAGTGGTATGCACTTGTAATCCCAGTGCTGGGGTGGCAGAGACAAGTGGATCCCCAGGGCTCACTGGCAAGCCAGGTTAGCCTAATTGACAAATTCCAGGCCCTTATGAGAGACCCTTCCAAAAAGAATGAGGCTGATAGGTCCTGAGAAATAACATCCGAGGTTGACATCTGGCCTCTACACACACAAAAAACACACACACACACACACACACACACACACACACACACACACACACACACACACGCACAAA